ACTACATAAAGTATATTCATTTGCTTCAAATTAAAATGGGCTAATGGGTTTTAAAAATGATTTGGGCTTTAAAATTAAAATTATGAAATAATCTGATTTATTTATTTTATTTGCTAATTTGTTTAAAAAAATAAAATAATTTAATTAATTCAATATAAAAAATAAAAAAATATTTAGTTTCGCTTCTTATTCGGTTCTTTGGTTCTTAGTCTACACCCAAGACCCGACCCAAACCCATCGGTTCTCGATTTGGGTACCCGTTCGGGTATTTAACTTATGAAGAACCACTCGATTCGGTTCGATTCAGTTCGGGTTCGGTTCGGTTCGGGACTTTTGGACACCCCTAGCCAAATGATTGACAGAATATACCATATGTTCTGAGGCATTAGTGTCAATGATCCATTTATTTGGTACTGATAGATGATCAATATGAATTTGATTACCTGAAAAGGCAAATGAATCAGAATCTGCGGGGGAAGGAGAATGTATGTCCTATGGTTGTTGATTTGGAGTGAATTCACTTTGTAACTTGGGCATCAACACAAATAGAATTTGGTGGCATTGATTTGGAGTGATAGTAAGCTGTGATAGTGAATTCAACATTCCAGATGTATCAGTTTTAATGTCTGACCATGATAAACTTGGCCAATTGCATTAACCATCAGAGGTCTTCCATTACCAAATTTGTGATTAGGAGGGTATCCAATCAGCTTATAACTTTTACTTTTGATATGTCTAGGTATACCGTAGTAACTATACACAGATCTTTAGATCTCTCCCTTCTTTGAGCAGGATAAACAAAATTAGATCTCTGATTGAACGATTTTTGAACAGCTCTGCCTACAAATGCAGTAGCATTATGTGTAGCCTGTTTACTGGTAGCAAATTCCTTTCGTCTTTCATCTTGCAAGACAAGTGCAAAAACCTTATTCAACTGAGGTAAAGGATCCATCAACAGGATTTGACCTCTAACACCAGCAAATTGTTCATTTAGACCCATGAGGAACTGCATGATTTGATCCCCATGTTTGTAATCAACATTATTTGCACTTGGTCTATAATTCTCCAATTCCTCCCACAAACCTTTGAGCCTATTAAAATAGGAATTAACCGAGTTATTTGACATAGAAATTGAAGCAATTTGTTTCTTCAATTCATAGATCCGAGGACCATTCCCCAGACTGTATCTATCTCTCAATTCAATCCAAATTTCTCTTGTTGAATCCTTGTGCATCACACTTGGATAAAGCTTCTTAGGTATGGAATTGATTATCCAAGAGGAGATCACATGATTGCATCTCCTCCAAGCCGTGAACAAAGGATCATCATGAGAAGGTTTAGTGATAGATCCATCAACAAAACCTTCCTTATTTTTGACACTAAGTTCCATGGTCGCTGTTCGACTCCATGTCGCGTAATTCTCTTCAGTGAGAGTCACAGAAATCAGCTGCATTCCAGTATTGTCTCCGTAACGAAGAAAATATGGACTGCTAGGATCGTTCATCAAGCGATTAATCATCGAGATCACATCTCCTCCAGCTGCATCTTCAGCTAATGAATCAGTAAACACATTCACCTGTTCAAATTTGCTTTGAGCTTCCGCCTAAACGTTGGAATCGTTCGCCATTGCAGACTGAACAAATCAATAGATCAGATCTGATCGAAGGAAGCAATGAGATCTAATTGTTGAGCTCTTCTTGCTCCGATACCATGTTAAAATGTAAAGGAAATATCTAGATCTACTGGAGAATGAAAGGCGGGAAAAACTCATTCAATTGATACAAAATGAGTTGTTCCTATTTTAGTGATATTTTAGAATTGGAGGAGAGATTTAAGTGATAATGAAAATGAAAGAGTCGTTGGACTATTTAAAATTTGAATTGGATTATCTTGCGATATTTCCTTTTGTAATTGGAGGGGTATTCATATCTTTTTATCTTAAGAATATTTTAGCGATTATAAAACCCTAAAAAGGTTGATTTTGTCTTTCTCTATGAAAGAGGCCATTGACATTTAAAATTTGTAAATTAGGTTGATTGGCAAATTGGCACTGTTGACCTTGTTTTCAAGGATTTTTTACTTTTCATTAATTTTTAACATTTTTCTCAATATTTTTTTACATGATTTTACATTAATCATGTAAAATCAAAAGATGCCAAAATAGCACTTTCAAGTACAAAAGTTCATTTCAAGTAAAGAAAATATCTACCCACATGAACGCCTAAAGAAGACAAGATCATCTGCTCAAGCAAATTTTTTTATTTTTTTTTCTAAAAACTGAAAGTCGTAACATTAAAGATTATACTTGATTATACAAGCACAAACTATTGCACAACGCCCATCACCATACATAGGCAATACAACAAATCCCACTGCTATCTCCCTCAAAGTTGTTGCTCTATGATATCCCCTGATCACACGAGAGCGAGAGAGAGAGAGAGAGAGAGAGAGAGAGAAGCAGCAAAAATAGATAAGAATAAAATTAGAGCTTTCACACAATAGATATACCAATGGTAAATACACATGTTCAAGTGCAAAGGGATTTTTCATTCTTAATCTTGTTCCATTTCATCATGCTGATCATGCAGGTTCTTTGAATTTGGCTGCTCAACTTTATCATGTGGTGCATCTATTACTTCTTCAGCTGAAATAGAACCCTAATGGAGAAATGAACGCCGTTAGACTTCATTTTGTGAAACAGTTACTTCAAAAATAAACAAAATATAAAGGGGCATACCTCCAAGCATGTCATCTCAACAGATGATGAGCCCACCTCTCTAGTGTGCTCATAAACTTTCATATCATCCTGAAGAAATTAATAAATGGAAAAAAAAATATATATTATTGTAGCTAAAAAAACATTTATGGGATCGGATCCTTAGACAAAGTAACAAACAAAAGAGGCCAAAGCTATAATTAAAGAATTAAAGATGTCTACCATGTCGAAACAAGATCTGGTATAAAAGCTTTGTTATAATTTTTAAAGGGGGAGCTCCACCATTCTCCTATTTTTAGGTGATACATATGGCAACCATAATATGCATGTTGCCATTACACTCCACTACACTAATAATTCATATTAGCCAACAAATACAACAAGTTTTAAACTACTTACCATGTAAAATTGTAGAGTTTCCATTTTTGGGTGTAAATGTTTGATCTAAAAAGGAATTCACATGGGTAGTTTTTGGTCTTTTATTTATATATTTTCTTCGAATCGAGAAAAGTTGCTACTTGTTATATCTCTAGTCTAATGTACTTGTTATTGAAAGCTCAATATTTCAAATCTACAAGGTTATGTATATTTGCTGAATTTAATAGGTTTCCCGAAAAGGTATTACGCGTAAATGTTATGCCCTAAATCCAATCAATTTAGGTTGTTAACATTCTAAATATGTTTAATGCATTTATTTTGGCGAGATCTGTTACTATTCTAATAAATTATATTAAATAATATAGTCCGTAAATTTAATTATTACTAATTTGTTAATCACAAGAAATTGTGATTGTGAGATACATATTATATATGACTAAATCTTAAATAATCTGTGGTTGTAAGTAATATCGAGATACGAATATTGTTATTACGGATAGACCATCACATGTGATATTTCTTACTTATAAAATAAGTTAGCTGATCTCACAAGTTAAACTGTGGTGATACTTAAACGAACACGTGAATGTTTTATTATAAAATAAAACATTGGAGCCCTGTTGGGAGATTCCATATAGATAATTATCTGAGTGTCAATGATTAATCTCTAACGTTCAGTAATGGAATTGGTCCTTCGACTTGAGGTGATCATAGTGCTTTATATAAAGACAATCATACTTTGGTGATATTGAATGTTGATCTACCAAGGGTCGTTAATACGGCATCATTCGGGCATGTCAAGAGTCATACGAATTTTGTAAATGATCAATACATGATTCGTCACTTTTAGATAGTAAGAGATTGTGATCTACATTTCCTTCACTTAAATTGATTACATAATCCTTGGCCAAGTATACTCATAAGTTGAAATTTCAACCAGCATTGATTTAATAGTAGGATGAAAGACATGATCGATAATTAGGATCGACACATATCCATATCTCGTAATTGATTAGATCATAATGACAAAAGAATCATAGTTTCACAGTAAATGAAAAAGATTGGTTTTATTATACTTTATGACATTTTCCCTCACAAATATTGCCATGACACATTACTAGATGTCAATTTGGGACGACGGATGTGAATGGATGATAACTTAAAAATGGATATTTTAATTTATCAATTCTGATTATATCAAAATAATAATTCTCGTCGTTAGACGTAGTGATCAGGAACCTAATGGCTCACACACAAAAAGAGAAATAAAAGAATGAGACTAACTAATTAATTAACAAGTGTTGGAAAATTAGTTAATTAGGTTACTTGTTAATGGCCCCATTATTTAATTGGATTAACTAATTTATGCATCAAATTTAATTAATTGTAATAATTAAATATTAGACCAGGTTAAGTTTAAGAGACAAACTGAGTCTACTTGAATTTTTATTAATAGGCTGCTAGGGTTTGAAAATTCAAAACTCAATTCATTATTCTTTTTAGCACAAGAAAAAAAAAACCACAGTTCTCTCAATCTTGTTCCTTGTGTAAATTTCATTGAAAGTTGGATAATTGGACAATTGTTGATTGCACATCAGAGCTATTCTCTAAGGAATTCATCAAATGCATAATTCTTTATCACAATTTCTCTCTAAACCTAAAGAAGATTATTGATGGGAATTGAAAATTTTGTTTAAACACCATTATGCATATTAAGTAAATTCTCAATAGTGGTATCATAGTTTACTTTGTGCTTGTTAGAAATTGTTTTTACATGATTGAACAATCAAAAGTTGATTGTTATTAGTTTTATTGAATCTAGCAATTAAGAAAATTAATTTTCATATTCAAAAATCTGTTTTTGAAAATAAAAATAATTTTGGACTGAAATCAAATAGGAGGGATTGCTGACGGCAACAGCCACGAACTGGCGAAGGCAATAATGATGGTCGCTGCTACGCATCACCGCAACGACCATCAACGCTATGGTAAAAAGAAATATCGTTGCGACGATGCTGCTATTGTAGCAGTTGTGCCGGCTGCTGTGTTATAGCAGCGTGCGGTGCTACTCCTCCGATACGCATCCTATGTTGGACCACAGTGGGACACCACTGCTTGGTCCACACTAGCGGCGTCACCTGCCGACTGCAATGAAGGAAAGTGAATGGAATTTTAGGGATTAGGCATTTTTGGGACCGGGGATCTCCCTACAATTTATGAAATTGTGGGGACCTGTATGCAATTATGGGTTTATGTTCATGTTGTAATTTTTTTTAAATAAGGACTTGTTTAGAAATTTTTTAATTGCAAGGGTCTCATTATAATTTTAAACTGGGCCAGATTGCAATTTTCCGAAAGGGGTCTTGCATACAATTTTTAAAGGGGTTTAAAAATGATTTTGGAAATGTTTTGACCTATGCTATCAATTTTGACCCGTTTAAAATTTTATTTAAAATTGACGACTTCCAATATTTTAGTTAAAATTGAATTTTAACTTAAATATTATACTTTGACCCGAAATTGAATTTTATTTCATTTAGGAGTTTTATCATAAATTAAAATGTTAATTCAATTATAATTAGATTTTATTTTATTTGGGAGTACTATCCTAAATTAAAATGTTAATTCAATTATAATTAGAGTTGAACTCTAATTTAATATTTAATTAGAAATTGATTTTAATTAAATTTTCTCACCCTAATATATTCTTCAAATTAGAGTTGGAATCTAATTTGACATTAAATTAAATTTTCATGCTCAATTTTTTTTTTTTCGGGTATTAGAGTTGGACTCTAATTTAGTTTTTAATTAGAATTTGATTTTAATCAAATATTTCTGTCTATAATTGTTGAATTAGAGTTGGACTCATATTTAATTAAAATTTGATTTTGATTAAATTGACCCGCTAATTTATTTAATTGGTTAATTTGAGTAATTAATTAATTTTTTATTTTTTTTATCCATTTATCTAAATGAGTTTCGACGACTATTATTGCTAGATTCTTGAAGCATGTTTGAATATAATATTAAATATTATATAAGAATGTATTTATTTGATGAATATTTTGATGATTATGGAATCAACCATGTTGATGTGTTGAATGATTAATTTTATTTTTGTCGTTTTATGGGCCTGCGAGCTCTTAATTTGTTTTGGACATACGAGTCCACTATTATTGTTGTTATTATGGGCTTGTGCGTCCAATTTCATTTAGGCCTACATGCTAATTAGTATATGATACATGTTGTAGCTAGACTAATTAAAGATGTCACGAGAGGAGGCAACCATGGAGATGGTGCATGGATACTGATTCAATGCAATACCCCATAGGAATTGACCAACTAGTCTTCATTTTGGCTCGGGAATGCTAGATAGAATTGGTCCATAATCATCCATACTATTATATGTATGTTTATTTGCATGTTTGATGCGTGATAAGTCCTTCACTAAAATATTAAGTTGGAATTATTTTTTGTCTTCCATTATTATACTGCAAAATGAGAGCCCTAAATCGATATCAAGAACAAATCATGTGAGTTCCAACCAGATAATCCTTATACAAATTGTGACTTTATAAATCATAAAAACTTACTACACAAGCTGAATTAATTTTAAATAAAAAATATTGAATACACTCAAGGAGATAAATTATAGAGTCCTATTAAACTAACATGTAAGATGTGTGAGGTCAAAGAGTTATTAACTTAATGATTTGGGAGTTGAATGAAGATATAATTGATAATAGTATCTATCCAAATATGTTATTAAGATTTATTGAGTACACTCAAAGTCTTAATGTAACAAAAAGAATCTCAACCCACTATGAATCAAGCATAGATTTTATTAATTTGTGTGGAAGTCATAAATTAAATTTTTAAAAAGTGGGAGCATATTTAATTTAATTAAAGTCCATATTAAATTTATGCAATGCAATTTAATACATATTAATTCTTTACTTTTCATCATGTACAATTTTTTAATCATGAGTAACCATATGAATTTGAGAGGCATACTGGATGCCAACAAACTGACGAGGCCAAATTTTCTCGATTGATACGACAATTTGATAATTGATTTCAAGTATGAGAACATTGATTATATCCTTGAGAAACCCTTTCCAGAGGTGCCTACTGAGGACTCGATTGAGGAAAAAGTGGATGTTTACAATAAACACGGTGATGACGATAATACTGTAGCTTATGTGATGCTTGCAACTATGACACCTAAGTTACAAAAGCAACATGAGGGTATGGATACTTACACTATGATTTTTCATATCAAATAGTTGTATGATGAACAATCACGTATGGAAAGATACGAGACATCCAAGTAACTGTACTGGTGAAAAATGGTAGAAGGATTTTTAGTCAGTGCTCATGTGCTGAAGATGATTGGCTTTATTGAGAAGTTGGCTCAATTTGGTTCAATAATGACAATGAACTAAGTGTTAATTTGGTTCTGCAATCTATGCCAGAGAGTTATTCACAATTCATCATGAATTTCAACATGAAATAGCTTGAGTGTACACTCTCTAAATTGCTGAACATGCTTAAAACCGTTGAACCCAATGTCAAAGCTAGTAGTATGCATTTCCTAGCCATTCAATCCTCCAAGGTACTAAGAGGAACACTAAAGGAAGTTTTAAGAAAACATCTAAGAGAGCTAAGAGCAATAACAAATCAATCAAAGAAAACAAGGACAATACCAAGTC